ATTTAGTTAATCACAAGATTCTTTTCTTTCTCTCTCTCTCTCTCTCTTCCCCCATCCCCCCACGCTGGCAGCAGCGAGATCTGCCATTTTCTCTTGTGTGTGGAAAAATTGAGACCGGGTATTGCTGGATACAACTCTCAGAGCCACAAACTAGCTAGCACAGCAGATAACCACCTATGATTACTTTCAGTAATGCAAAGTACCTTGCATCCTGATTTTTGCACATGTTATTCATTTGGAAACATGCTTAATTCGAACATATTTTCAGGATTCTAGTTACTTAGCGAGGTTTTACTGTAGAAGCCGGGTTACATTTGAACTGCCTTGTGAAAGCAACATGCACTGACAAATCATTGCGCAATTGAGCTGGAAATAAATTGAAATTCGGATTGCCAAGACATTCGGGAGGTGTGCCGTGCAGGAAGATCTCTCTTCAAAGCAAGTTCGTTTTCTGTACACCGAAGTTCGTAGTAAATGAAACACAGCTTTTAAAAAGTTGTGAGTGGAAACACCAAATTTTTTTTGCCCAAAAAAGTCCGTGATGCACGTTTTTAGAAGGTCAAAAGGGATAAAGGCGGTCTCGAGTTTATTTCAAACGGCAGCGTGCTCGTTCGCCGAGGCCCGTGGCATAAGCAGCTGCATGAGTCACTGGCTCCAACGTTTTGTCGTTCTCGCAGTCCGATTTCTCCAAATCGCTCTTGCCTCGTACTTCATTCACAATGCCCTAATCCGTGCACGATTCCGCAGTGTTGGCATCATCATCGGCCGTAATTAAACCATCACAACAGATGTCCCACCCGCTCTCCCAGGTCGAAGTCGGCGATGTGCTGCCACAAATCGCTGCCGGAGTGATTCTGTTCGGAAGATTCAAGCTTGGCATCGGGACTGACGTTGACGAAGTCGGCCTCGCTAAAACAGATCCGCACGCATGTAGCCATCATCGCCGCCCACAAAATATTCACCATCTCCACAGCTGAATACCAGGACCCCCTAAGCTCCAAGTTGGCTGCCAGGTGTTCAACAGCTATGAATGAGCAAGCACTCCGCAACGCAGCACCCAACGCGCGGATTACGCTCAAGTCAAGCGGTCACACTTTAGACGTTTTGTTGAGCGGCAGGAAAAAGCGTGCAAGTTCTCTCCGTCTGCCATCCTGACCACACACAAACACCAAGAGCGAGCTAGACGCACACACGCGAGACACATGCCAGAACTGCGTAGAACAGCTCTGGGCCCGTTTCTAGTCCAAAAACGAATCTTTTGAATTCAAGCCAGCTTGGCTGGTGTCGCGGAGCGGTGGAGACGGGCGAAGGGGTTGTGATCCAGAGAAGAGAGCCGATTTGCGAGAGAAGGGCAAGTAGTTGCGATAGAGAAAAAAGAGGGGAGGATACGGTGGGAGGGCGACTTTGAAAACTAAAACACGCATTAAGAAGTCAGGTCGGGTAGCTTGCTTGAAAGGTCTGCGAAACGCGCCACTCGCGCGTAAAAAAACATGGAAGAGTGCCTGCGCAGCGCAGAGGTCAAAGCACAGCCGCCTGGATCGGTGTGCGCGGCAGTGTTCAAAGAATTGACAGTCGTGGTCGAAAAACCATTTGTAGCACCGGCGGGTTTGCGTGGCTTCACCGACTTCAATATTTCGAGATTTGTTCCGCGCAAATTAACAGCCGTTTTCGTGCTTCCCCACGTGGCCGGAGGGCATGCTGAGCTGAGTGGGAAGTGAGCGAGAACAGATCCCAAACACGAAATGAATCGCGAATTATTAGAATCGGTGGGGTAGCGTACGTGCGTGCACTAGACACAGCCGATTGGATAGAGTCAGTAGCTGACGATGTCGGCAAATGGTCTGGTCACTCCAGGCCGGCTACGCCAATGACAGTACCAGCGATCAAAAACAGGGGGAAGGCGGACCGGTCTTTGAAAGATCGGTGGCAGTGTGAAAACACGGGCCTCATCTGGCGATGCAAGGTGCTCAGAGTAGCGGGGGGACAAAGGACGGAGGGGTGCGTAACAAAAAAGCAGTCGGGGAGAGCGGCCACTAGAGGGGCGCGGAGGCAGGGTCGGCGTTTAACGAGAATGTACGGGCATTTCGCCGATGCCTAATCGTGGGTCGAAAGTGGTTTCCCGGGAAGTCGGCAGAGCGCCGACCCCGTTGGCTGTAACCGATCAGCGGCGCTCGGAGACATTCGTTGTAAGTGCGATTTTGTGCCGTTACACTAATGTATATTTTCACGGTCATGCGGATATTGTTCTTTTTTTAAGCGAAAGTTCGTTTTAAGTGGGGCCATTATATGTGGGTTCGACTGTATTTCTATGCAGGCACAGGGGTGTCTTTTATACCCATTTGGCTCTTACAACAGACAGTGTCTTCTATAAAGCTGTTCAACTGTATATAAATTTTAGTGTGCAAGTTGGATACATAGACTGCTTTACAGCAATGCAGGGAAAGTGGTTTCTCAGCCATATGCAGCAGGAGTGTGGGTCATGTGTAGGGGTGATTTGAACACTAGAAAAATGCCGCTTGTTCTTCCTCAGGATTTGGCTTTAGTGTACATGTCGAACGACAATACAGTCGTGGATTCACGATAGCCGGTCCTACCTCTCGTTGCACGACTTCTGGCTTTTTTCTCTAGAAGGACTGCTACACACTAGGAGACTATATAGGAGAAATTAATCAAAACTCATTGAAAAATGCCACGACATCAAGATTGCCCTGAAGGCAGCCTTGAGGCAAGTTTCGGCGAATTGTGTTTAGGGGGCAGACTGGTCTTAGACATTTTCTTTTATTTCTTCAGTGATCTTGATCAAACTGCACAGAGTTACGCAGTTCTTTCTGCTGATTCCATATTAAATTAGTTTTCCTGTTACCCATCTTGTTCCTGAGATAACTTAAGTTCACCCCCTATTGTTTAAGACCACCATAGAATAAAAGTGCCTTAATTTAAAGTGATATTTATGATATGCTAACATAGACGAATGACTATAGATTGAAAGTACCTATGCAGGAGTTTTTTGTTTGTTTTTAGGCCTTTTTTCGGTTATTTTAACAGTAAAATCAACTATCCATTTCAAAAAGCAGTTGGAATTGTGTTACAATTTTGATGAGTAATTAAATAAAAAGGCTTGTGCTCTAAATTCTGCTCCCATACTTGCATTCTACACACATACAGGTTTTCATTGCAAAAATAAATATTGCTGTATGAGGCCTAGCTGCAGAGATATTGAGGCCTCTAAACTGAACAGTTGTAAATTTACTTTTCTGAGAAAAATGTAAAAAAATTAAAACACACAGCTTCTTCAAAAAGTAAAAACCATGGTGTGCATGTTTTGCAATGCTCATAAAGGTGCTCATAAATTTGTAGCTGAGCTTCTAACACACGTGCCGGCATATTATAAAGAACCCTCAAAGTAGTTTCTCCTTTTTTTCCAGGTGCTGCATGTTAACAGCACCAAGAATCCGGACAGTTAGAATGACATTACAAAAAAATTACCGTTTCCTGGTGTGGGAAAAATTGCCAGAGAAATAGAAAAATACTTGCAGAAACCAAATATGTCAATTTTGTCACTGTTTGGTCCCAAACACCAGTCTGCCCCCTTAAGGGGGAGGTGCAGCACCCCTGCAGCTGTTCCCACTTTAAACATGAAAAAATCATGGTAGTTGACGACAGTTGGTATATGGCAGTTCCAATTAAAGGGTATCGAATGGCAGCATTTTTATATTTTTTATTTCTTTAACTACATACAAGGTTTTGCAGAAATGTGTCAATTTTTTTTTCTTATATTCTGAGTGGTTTTCGTTTTACAGCAAATTTTTTTTAATTTGCTTTGACAGCACTGCATTTGTCCACCGTATTCAAAATTCTGTGTGCTGTTTTTCCAAAAGTGCTTAGTAGTCTTCCTGCCATTTCACTTTTATAAATTGCAGCACAATGGCTGAACCGACTTTGGTCCTATTGTTTTGTCGCAATTCATGGGCGGTGCTGCATAAAAACACAGTCTTCGAGTTTTTGTTTAGACCCAAGTTCCTTAATTACTCGCCTTGTGGTAGCTTGTGCAGTGTAGTGTGGTCACTTGCATACGACGCTGAGCTGAAATCTACTGAGCTGAGCTGAAAACTGCTGAGCTGCTGAAAAAAAAAATGCTCTGACATTGCCTCTGGATGTGACGCCTGGAAGACATAGAAAGTAATCTTCGCATTCTAGCATTTCCCATCGCTGTGCCAGGCTTCATTAAAGGATTTTATTCCCTCATGAATGGAGTGCCACGAAAATTTCTTAGAATCTTCAATTATGAGCAAAGTTAGAGATAGGTAGCACGCTGTGACTGCTTGCTCTCTTCTCTCGTCCAATGAGCGTGCCGGAAGCTAAGCAGGCAGAAACAGCATGGGGTAAGGAAGTTATGTCACAAGCGCATTATGACCGTGAGCACTTTCATTGCTTTCTTTTTTCTTCTGACGCACAGCTTACCTTCATCACGGGAGCATGCCCGAGCATGTGGCAGCATCCCACAGTGGCCACAGTAACAATGCTCGAATCGGCCATGGCCTTGAATTTAGTTTTATGGTGTGGTCATTTTGGGTATGCGGCATCATTTGTAGAAATAAAAAGAAATGGTTTCTATTGGACCTTGAGAATTAATTGTAAATTCTAGAGTAATGTGCTATGCTATAGTGTTTGGCTCGTGTGTCCTTCGTCCCTTCGACTACCAATGTGCAGCGTCTTCTGACCATGTTGAAAAAGTGTAGCAGAGTCCCACAGAAAACTTCAGTAATTTGTGATGTAATTGAAGATCCTATAATCTGGCGATTAGATCTGGTTCTGACAAGTGTGTGCATTGACTCTTCTTGTTCAGCCACACATTTGAAAAATCGTAAAAACTGAAACCTTAAGGAAGCAAGGCAGTACTTGTTCGTACGATTGCCGCTTTGTTGCGCTTTGAAGAGGGAAAGGATGGCAAGCGGCATTATATAGACTGAATATGGTCTGTATCGTGTGATTTCTTGCAGCCCAGGGTCCCAAAACCGTGAAGTTGTTCATCAACCAGCCCACGACTCTGGGATTTGACGATGCAACTGGAATGGAGCCTGTGCAGACACTTGTGTGAGTTGGCATGATACTTGCATTGCATTGCATGAGGATAAAGCTGTAGTTTGCTGGTGTTGTTGCTTCAATGGCAGTTTTATATATATATATATATATATATATATATATATATATATATATATATATATATATATATATATATATATATATATATATATATATATATATATATATATATATATATATATAGATAGATAGATAGATAGATAGATAGATAGATAGATAGATAGATAGATAGATAGATAGATAGATAGATAGATAGATAGATAGATAGATAGAGAGAGAGAGAGAGAGAGAGAAACCTCGTTCTTACGTTGCGGCCAGGAATGTGACCCAACTACGCACAAAGTGGTAGTACACTCTAGCCACCATATACCAGCTGGCATCGCCTAGCGTGTATCGACACCACTGACAATAAATTGAATGTAATGCCCCATAAAACGTTGCCTTATGTACCCACTATAAAGCCTCTGGTTTCTTTTTGTCTAAGTTCTGATTCTTGCTCTCATATGCTTTCTCTCACATACGACCATCTGATATCACATGGTGGCAATGCAAAGCAGCTAATTTGAAACTACTATTTAGATGGTCCAGAACAGACAGTGGCTGCCTTTACAGCACAGCAGACAAATATGTGTGCCTGCTTTCCAGTGATACACGAGTACACGTCTCTGTCATTATTAGTTACCATGCACAAACAGACACCATTACACTGAGAAGCGTAATTGCTGCATGGAGCCTATCTTATCTGGCTAGCTGTGTGCAGCACATAGCCCGACAGTTCATGCCCCAATGGAAACGTTGGAAGTGTAAGTCTCGATGTAAAGCTAAGCTTTGATACAACAAACATCAGTATAACTAAACCTCGGTGTAACAAAGTACAGTGCATAACTTTTTATGAGTGGACGTCTGTAGAATGCCATGTACTTATATTTAGCCTGGATTTGTTTACACAGGATCTTTATGGTAGGAAGTTTCATTGTTTCATGATACTGAGGTGGGCAAAACAGTTCAGTGTTCGCCATGCACTACCCCGATGACGAAAACTGGAGTGGGAAGCTTTCCCACATGGTGCATGTGGTGGTTCAAGCTGTTCGGTGCATGAGGTCATCGTTTTCTCGCTGGTCAACGAGACTGAACAATGCTAGACCAATCGTGACAATGTGCTATAGCGCCAAAGGCCTGTGTTCCGGCACATCCTCTTCAACATGGTTTTCAGAGTTCCATTAAACTTCTCGAAAAGCTCATTTGCTATGGCGCGAGGGGGGGGGGGAGGAGGCATTCAAATAAGCTCGATGGCAAGAAGACTGCCCACCTCTCCTGTAGGTTTCACTGTAAAACTTGTTTCTAGGTCACTTACTGAGGAACAAGTTTCTGCCTATGTGATCAGAAACTTGTTCCTGGGTGAGTGACCTCTTAGGTGAAATGATTCAAAAGAAAATCTCAATCAGTCCTTCTACTACATGCACAGCATCAATTGCGGATAGAGCACTGGCAATCGCATTGTGAGCTTTCTGCATTTCTTGCACGAAGCTCGCATCATTGGGTTCTTGCCGCATATGTTCACATTGTGTTCGCCACGGGACTAGGCCAGTATACGATTGAATCACCGTACCGCCTGACAAAAAAAAAAAAAAAACAAATAACTGTGTCATTTTTTGTCAAGTATCAGATCGCAGCAGACATTTGTTGTGGACAGCTGCTTATTTCTGTTTCATCACTATGCCAGTCGAACATGCCGGACTCTGCAGTAGTTTCGAAGTGCTCCTTGATGTGGCAACCGCAGGTCATCAGGATAGCCGTGCGAGAGTAGCCAATCATTTCTGATTTGGCAAATGGAAATAAATGACTTTGTGGTGGGCACTTCACGCAATATTCGCTCTGGCACTGTATTTATTATTTCATCTTCATTATCAGCTTTAACTTGTTTTTGGTTCATATGAATTCAGAATGATACGAATATTTTCTGTGCTTCCTTTGAATTCGTATGATCGATATTCTACTGTATATTGCAAATGATCGGCGAAGTTCGCCACATGTTTCAAGATATTACAGAGCTCGTGCTCTGCGATCCAGGGTCTGAAAGAAGCTGTCTAGCTGGACTTGCGAATGTTTAATGTTCTGATGACTAAACATGGCTACCAAGTGTGGATTTGTGATGCCGGCTTGTTGATTGCATGCAGGCTCAACGGCAAGGAAGTTGAAGAGGGAGCAGTCACGCCTCTCCGTTTCGTGAAGTTCCAGAATGTGCAGAACCTGCAGGTATGTTATCTATTACATTATATCAGTGCATCAATTGAACTGCATAGTTGAAAAAAATGGCCTTTGCAACTTCTTTGTATGCAAGGGTTTTGCAATTGCAGTATAATCCCATTGGTACGGTTTCCGAAGTATCATTTAAAAAAAAATTGTAGGAGCCAGAAACTCTGAAGTGGTTCGAGTGCGCCAATTGCAGCATTTTGCTACGATTTCATATGCCTGCTCCTTGCTGCGCACATTCGAGTGTAGCTTGCCCCAACTGTGCCAAAGTTCACTTGTCCGCCTGTTTGCATGACATTGGACCGTTTAAGGCCCAAAATTATCTGTGTTGTTACCAATCAACAATAAAAGAAATCAGTTTCATTGCAAGTGTGAAGCAATGATCATGATAGCAACAAATTGCAATGTTATTACGAAGTAAGGCTGGCAGCTCATTTTTTAGGATCCGATCTTACGCAACTGTGCAAAATGCTTTTTTAAAAGAGTACAGCCACTCCAGGAACACTCCTCGCACATTCTCTTAGCATCGAGAATGCAGTGCGCGAAAGGGTGTACGAGCTGCCCCATAAACAAAAGAAAAATAAATAGTATCACTCCTCCTACCTAACCTATGGCGTCTTTTCACAGATGCCATAGTTATTTCCCGACCGTGTCAGTTGTATGGGGCTCATACCCACTCATCGCACCTTCACGGCATATTTCAGGTGAAAAATTTGTGAATGTGTGGCATCGCTAAGGCCATCATTTCGACAGACGGACTCATATCGCTCATGGCTGCTTTTAATAAATGCATCCGCCCCTTTCATGTTTGGATTGATCACTGACTCCACCCCCTTCTAATGGCTGTTTACATTGTGCCAGTTTCATTTTAGAATACAATTTTTCCTCTGAATCTGGAATGCCGAGCCGAAAGTCCTCTAAATTGATTGGAAAACATCACTTTGTGCTCGCACCTGTAGCAATTATTGAGTACGATGGAGCATCATCCACAGTGTGTTGTGGCGATTATTTAATGTGTTATATACGCAAGTAATTTCAAACAGTATATGCTCGCTTGCAACGACTGAGTTTACTTCATCTGATTTTTTCGAATAGGTTTTTATTTCTCGAAATGACCTAATGACACCTGTTGTGTTGCAGAAACAGTATGTACTATGCATACTTTGTAACTAAAGCATGTAGCTGTCCTTGTCACTAATGCTTCACTTTTGTACATCATGCACATCTTGCGCAGGCAAAGCGAAAGCATAACATGACACTTTGATGCTTAGAACCTGATTAATGGCTGCTCTCTGAATATAAGCCTTGTCTCCCTGTTTGCATCGTAGCAGCATTTCCAAAACAGTGCATTGGCGAAACAGGACAGCCTGTTAATGTTAGATTACACAGTCATTGTGCAGACACAGCAAAGAAATTATCGAGAGCAGTGACACATCATTTTAATGTAGCAGAGCACAACTTCGACCATCTCGAACTCTACATACTCCCTTCAAACTTATGATCCGCAAGAGACTGAAAATATGCGGATTCGTACCTTACTCACAAGTTCAATACACTCCAGCCAGTAGGCATAACCTGTTTATAGAGGGGCTCTTGAATCAATTCTGTGCGGTGCATACACAGAGAAAACCAATGCGAGTTAGGCCCTCTGTCTAGGAATTTTAAACCTGCCATTGCTAGCTTCTGATAACTGTGGTTCAGAGATATGTGTACATCCTCAGATCTCCGCTGCTTTCTTATCCTTATTTTATTCACGAAACACCTGTGTGCCTTTCTCTCATACAGTTTGTCACAGCAGCACCCACCTCCACGCTCTATCACACTCGCATATCCTCTGTTTCTCTCTACCCCTTCTTTGTTAGAATGACGGAGAAGGTACGAAGCGCAGATATGCTAGCATTAACGAAATCAGTCCTGTAATAGCCTTGAGAAAGACAAGTGCGCTTGTTGAAACGCCAACTCGACACAACCCTGTTTACGGACTTTTTAGATGTAAAGCAGCTCTTTGACTAGCCTGTGTAATGCTGTCTCTCCATCCGTGACGCGCTCTCCTGCCCGCAAGTGTTGGGGCGGTGCCAAGTAGGTCACGCCTTCCCTCGCAGCGTTCACGTTGACGTCGCTCTCTTCCTAGTCTGTGGCCGCTTGCTGTGTGTCACATCTCTCGCTTCGCCCTCTCCACCGCTCGCAACGTTCGAGCGCACATCGAGTGGAAGCACTCTTTCGGCTCGTTTTGTTTGTCGTCATTAAACTTACACGAAACCCAACCCGCATACCGTGTCTTTGCGTTTCAAAGAAACGTGTACTCGAGTTAAAGGCTACACCGAGTTTCGCTTTTAACCGTTCTTCCAGCACCCGCGTCGGCGTCCGTTTCAGGCGAGTCAACGGCATGCGCACCGCTGCTGTTTCGCATCCCATTATGGTTCCCTTCTGGGAGATGGTCTATACTTTTTTTCATCACAAGGAGAGAAAAGAGAGAGAAATAAGGGTGTCAAGAACAAAGAAAAAGATACAAAAAAAGAATAAAGAGGCAAAGAAAATTGGAAAGGAAGAAAGACTTTAAGAGATTTGTTGAGTGAACAGGAAGGAAGAGTTTCTGGCCTCATTTGTCCTGGTATACAGACAGTGCCTGCTACTGTGATGCCACCAGCTCCCTTCTGTTTTACCAGCCTTTGTGGCATTGAGTCAGCGAAGCTGCTTCAATTTTTTTTTTCCCATGTCTATAAAGACCTCATTTCTGCAGCAAAATGAAGCATCGCGTTGTCGCTTTCAGCTCTTTGTCAAGGATAACCAGACGGGAACCGAAACCACGCGCATCAACCAACTGGTGATCTTTGGCAGCCCGATCAGTGCCACGAACATGGGCGACTTCAAGAGGGTAAGTGCAGTTACACTTTTCCACACCGTTGTAATTCGGGCCTGCCATGCTGTGGGTGTTTTGTTCATTTGAAAGAAATAACTTCCATTCTCTTGAATATCTTGCGTCTTGTCTTCGAACCTATGATTGCTTATGATTGTAAGAGTTGTGCACGCCACGCAATACAGCTGATTACAATTAGGTTTTCTGAAATGTAATTGATTACACTGACCATTGATGATTGCTCTTAGCAAGCACTAATTCAATAACAACTTAAATTGAGCACAGTAAAAGCTCGTTAATTTGACACCCGTTAATTCGGATAATTCGGGCGGCTCTATTGGTCCCGGCCCTAGTGCATGTTAATCTATGGGACCAAACCTTCGTTATTTCGTTGGAATTCGGCTCCGCACCGCTTAATTCGGACAAATGCTGACGGCTGCTGCTACACAAAAGTGTGATAAAGCAGCGCTGGCACCACTAAAGTGAAACTGAAACCTGAGTGGCATCGCCATCATCATCAACTAGTGGGGGCGATCGCAGCGTCACCGAACGTCGGCGTCTTCTTTCTTCTCCACTCAGCGCCTCTGACGCCATTTTCCCTTGTGTTGTCGTGTCGGAACCATCTCTTCTTGCGGAGTTCTCTTTTTCTTCCATTGTGACCGTATTTGCATGCCACCACCATCGTGCGCTACAGTGATGGCAACGCCGAAAAAGCGGCAGAACTACGACGTGAAGAACTTGGCGACTAAAGTGGAAATTTTAGAAGCACTGAAGAACGGCGAATCGCGACAGTAGGTTATGACCAAGTACAACGTGAAGCGGAGCACGTTGGGAATGTACGGGAAAAATGAACAACAGATTGAACAAGCCTTCGAAAGCGAGAAGTTTCATGCCTCTAGAAAGCGGTTGCGAATCGCAGCTCATCCCCAGCTCGAAGAAGCTTTGCTCCGGTGGATTACTGACTGTCGCAACACGCATCTGCCTTTGGGCGGACCTCTCATCATGGCGCAAAGTGAGAAGTACGCTGCAATGATGAACATTGAATCGTTCAAAGCGTCAGAAGGGTGGTTTGCGAGGTTTCGAGAGAGACACGAACTTGTCTTCAGGAGTGTGTGCGGCGAAAAGGCCAGTGTTGACGAAAGCGTGACCACCGAGTGGAGAAATGTGAAGCTGCTGGAGCACATCGCCGCATATGAACCACGTGACGTGTTCAATGCAGATGAAACTGCTCTATTTTTCAGAGCTCTGCCCGACAAGACGGTGACTTTCAAAGGGGATGCGTGCATTGGTGGCAAGAAGTGCAAAGGATAACTGTGCTTCTTGCCGCCAATATGACTGGCACGTTGTCCGAGTCGGAGCAGCTGAGGCCGCAACCTTCCACATTCAAGCAATAGCGCCGGACCAACGCAAGTGCACTAATCCCTTCGGAGAATGTAGGCAATGGGTCATCATCGATTTCCATATTGCCGTCGCTTTGGCTCGTGGTTGGCACAACGTCTGCAATGTACCGTATTTACTCGATTCTACCGCGCCCTCGACTGTAACGCGCACCCGATTTCTGCGACGAAAAAAAAAGTAGGACATCGATTGTAACGCGCACCCATTTTCAGCGACGGGAGAGAAAAAAAAGTCCGTAGGAGTCAACTTTTGCACATTGAGAACAAGTATTTGGGTTTTAATGCACTGAAGTTTCAAAAGATAAAACACAGTCAAACAGCTAGCCCTCTAGCTAAAACTGTGACCACTACGGTGGCGTTACGAGTCGTGTAATAGGTCAGTCCTCGTCGCTGTCTGACAACTCCTTATCACTGTCAACAGCCCAAAGCATCTCATCCTCGGTACCGTCCATGACATTCGAGATGCCACATTTCTTGAATGCCTTGATCACCATGGCTGATGGTATTGCACACCACGCGTCCTTCACCCACGCAGTGAAGTCTTGCAGAGAGGCGCGCTTCATCCTGTTGCTTGGCGTGAAATCATGTCGTTCATCGATCAGTCAGTCGGTGTAAAGCGCCCGCATCTTGTCCTTCAACGGCTTGTTCAGGCAGACATCCAGCGGTTGAAGTTGTGACGTCATGCTGCCAGGTATGACTACAAGGTCCGTATTGCACGCGGCGAGCTTGTTTTTGATCCGCTGGTCGAGATGGCACCTGAACGCGTCGAGCAAGAGCATCGCTCACAGGCCCAAACTGGCGCCAGGTCGCTTCCGCCAGACGTGGTGGATCCAATCGGCGACCAGGTTCGTCGTCATCCAACCTTTCTCGTTGGCTCGCACGATCACACCATTCGGGAAAACGACTCCTTTCGGGAGCTTTTTCCGCTTAAATAGCTTGTGCCCATCTGACGTGCAACAGAGCATTGCCGTCACCCTAGTTTTTTCGTGGCCCGATGTCAGCACGCGAACTTGTTTCGCCCCCTTCTTCTCGACGGTTGTGGTGCCAGGCATGTCGAAGTACAGAGGCGTCTGATCGGCATTCCCGATTTGCCCAAGCAGGTAGCCATTGTTCTGTCGCAAGTTGAGGACGAACCTCTGAAAACTGCGAAGTTTTTCTTCGTACTCCTCCGGCAACTTTTGGCATATGCCCGTTCGCCTTCGGAGGGAAAATCCTTTCCTTTTCATAAAGTTACTTAGCCAGCACCTGCTCGCTTTGAACTGGCTCCGCGTTAGCCCTTTTTCCAAGGCTAACTGCATAGCCCGCACTTGGAGCAGTTCTGTCATCACGGGCCGCTGTGCCGCTCGCTGTTCAAGCACATACTCGGCGAGCAGCTCTTCAGTTTTCAGAAACCGACCCTGCTGCGGTCCACTGAAGTCTTTACGTGAAGCTTTGCAGTCGCCAATCTTCTGCTTCTGTTTCCGCCAGTCCCGCACGCACGTTTCAGGAACTCCGAATGACCGCGATGCGGCCCGATTTCTGTCCGTTTCTGCACACGCGATTACTTTTTTTTTAAAAGCAGCATCGTGGTGCACTCGTCGAGTCTTCGGAGTCGGCCCTTCCATGCCGTCGATGTAAATGCACTACGATACGACGAACTCCTCGGCACACGTACGAAGTGCCGCACATGGTAAACGTATTGGCAGAAATGGCCGACGCGCCATGCCAACGCCTCCTCTAGAAAGATGCCCGGGGAATGGCTCGCGCTCCCAGCAGAGTTGGCCTGCCTTCAGTTTTAAACAAGCTCCACGCGGTGGCGCTCGCGACCGACACTATCATCACGGCGACGGGCGATACCAGCTAAGCGTTTTTCATCTGCAGCCCATAGGGGCGCGTAAGTCGAGAGTTGTTTGAGACCTGCAACTGTGCACCATTGTTTTGGAGGCTATGCAAAGTGTTGCGTTGTTGCACCGTCTGCCACAAGTGACGCTAGCGACCGAGAACATTTTCAAAATGAAGGAGGGAAAGGGTGTGGCAACTGTTTTTTTTTCTCATGCGGCAGGCATCTTCCTAGAGAAGGCGTGGGGCATGCCGACGCACATAAGGGGCGGCCATTTTTGAAGTGTCGATGGCAATAGAATGACCGTATTCATTTTTTTTTTTGTTTCGTACTTGATTCTAACGCGCATGCGATTTATGAATTCGCTTAACCGTAAAAAAGGTGCACGTTAGATTCGAGTAATTACGGTAATCCTCATCCTGTAATTGGGTCATGATGGGGACATCATCGTCCGCACTGACGAACTTGTCGAATGTCGATCCGTCGATAGCACCTGGGAAATCTGCCAGCTCGTTCCAAACTTCGGCGGAAACACCTGCGGTGTCTTCAGTGCTGTCAGAATTCGGGGTGTCATCACCAGGCATGCGGAAGCCGGCATGCCTAAAGCAGTTCTGGATCGTCTCCTTCTTTACATCTGCCCACTGTCTACTCAATATAGAAATAGCTCCGAGCAAGTCGATCTTAAGCTCCCTGCCGACACGAAGGTTCTGCAGCAGTCTCTCCACCAGGCGCTTCCGATAGCCGGCTTTCGTTGCGCGTAAAACGCCTTGATCCAGTGGTTGCAGTACGGACGTAGTGTTCGGGGGCAAAAAACGCAGCTCGATGTTGCTGAAGGTCGTACTGCAGTGGTGCGATGAACAATTGTCCACGAGCAGGCACACCTTGCGATTTTCGCCTACCAAATCATCATTCCACGACGATAGCCATCTGCTGAAAAGCTCCCCGGTCATGCACGCTTTTGAGTTTGCTCGGTGGGTAACTGGAAGCAACAGCGCATTTCGAAAACACAGTGGTGCCGTGCTTTTCCCGATAAGTAGAGGTCGAAGCTTTTTCGATCCGTCTAAATTAGCTGCCAACAGCACGGACACGAGCTTTGTTTGCCTTGCCGCCGCTTGTCTTGTCGCCACGACAGACAAGTGTCTTGTTTGGCAACATTTGCCAAAATAGAGCGGTTTCATCCGCATTGAAGATATCTTGGGCTCTATATCTTGCTGCGATATCTTGCCAGTTTTCCTCGAGCCATTTTTTTACGCTGTCCAGGTCCGCCGCTCTGCTTTCACCTGCAACAGCTTTGCCAACGATATCGTGCCGTTCTTTGAACCGTTGAAGCCAGCCTGAACCGCCTTGGAAATCATTCCTGCCAAGCAGAAAAGCAAGGTCCTTGGCTTTCTGATCGATCATAGGGCCGGACACCGGGATGTTTCGCGACCGAACGTCCACAAACCACTTGTAAACGGCCGCTTCAACATCTTCGTACACAGCAGCGCGCACACGTCGGGCGCCACGGGCACCTGGCCTTTTGTCCGACTTGGCCCTGATGTCTGCCTTGTTCTTCAGGATAGTACTCAAGTAGCTCCTTGGAATTTTGTACGTGGCGGCGATGTCGGACTTCTTTTCACCGCGCTCAACCCGATTGATGATTTCGAGTTTCGCGGCGAACGGCAAATTTTGCCTCTTTGCGCAAGCCATGATGACAGCGCGCCAATACAGTTCACAGAGCACCAACAGGCAACACCCCAGACCACGCTGAATCAGCAGCAGCAGGCACACAAGCATAAAGAAAGAAAAAATGGTGCTCACTTCTAGTGCCTCCGCGCGCCTCCGAGAAAGCACGACGGCCTCTGATTGGCTGTAAGCGCAGCGAGCGGGCCAGGATCATTTCTTGGAGGGGGTGCTCACCCGCGCACAACCGGGTCTAACCAACTTTTTCTAGGGTGGCGCCGGCAGTTTTCTCCGCCACCGCGAGGGAAAGCCAACTTGCTGGGGCACTTTTTAGGCACATGGAGTTTGATATATCAGTTGTCATTGCTATTTTCGTTCGATAAAACAGTAACTTTTGCTATATATTCTCAATGTAAACTTACCGTGTTTAGGAATTGTTCGATATATGGGATAACTTGATATAAACGGGTTCAATATAGTCGGGCTCGACTGTAAGAGACAAATGGTTATAGCAGACACCAGTGTGCCTAAAGTAAAATATGGGTTGATAAGAAAGTGTATACATGGTACCCTCCTTATATTAGGCGAGAATTACTGCCCAGAGCATGCCTCTGCTAAAAGGGTTCAACTGTATTACTTTTTTGTTACTTTCCATTGTTCATAGACATTTACCTTTCAAAATTTTTATTGGTCATCTCCCTTTTATTTGTACTGGCACAAGCACTTCTAAACGGGTATTGACGCCTAATTTTCTATCATGATCTGTGTTACGCAGGTTAGTCCTTGTGCATTCACAATAACCTGGCGAAGTTTCAGTGCATTTGGTCAACTTATAATTCATTAAAAGCACGTGAGCAACCCGAGAGTCGGACAACAGTGGCACAGTCACAAGCTGTGACATCATAGTTTTTTTTTATAAATGCACTATAGGAAACTCCGGCGTCATTGTTCATGGGAGCTGCAACTGGCGTGGGAGTGATGGGTGGTACATGGATTTGTGCCCTTTTGGCTTCATCTAGCCTGGAACCGCTTTGTTGCAAAATGAACATGGGCAAATGTTCAGCAGTTGAACTTCATCATCTTCACCTTTCAGGCTCACTAACTCAAATTGGTTCTCGAAGCTCCCAATGATCGATTCTTTTATTCAAAACAAAAGTGATAGCACAAGAACAAACAAGGCCACAAGTGTGTTTGAAGCCGCAAGCACCAAGTTTAGGCAAATCTGTGCACTACCACCCATCATTTCCACGGTGGCTCAACGACTGCAGCGCCGCAGTTCCCTCTAGTTAATTTTGGGAAACTCTGTGCATGACGGAACAAGCAGCCGGCTGTGCGAGCATCTGCATTCTCGCAAAGGATATTGGTCTGTGGTCGGTGCTGCAAGAAATTGAGATATTTATAGCTTTCTTCTTCCTGCACTGAAACTGACTTATTTGCAGCAGCTGAAATATTATTAGAAGACAGCAGCTCAGCTGCTTGCTGCATGTGAGGTTGCAAGCACCACGGCAAATTGGCAACCGCCGGCGGTGGGCGGGATTTCTCGCCGGCAAACTCAAGTGCCTGTTTTGCACCAATATAATTTCTACAGCCCTCTTTTCACACATGTACAGTCAAATCTCGTTATAGTGAACCTCAAATGGCCGACCTTTTTTCTTGTATATTAACGACTTTTGAAAATTCCTCTCCAAATGTTCATTGGTTTAATGTAGGAATGTATGACTTCTATGAATTTCAGAATACCGAATATTTAAGGTTAATGTATCAAATTTTATTTTCCTTATATCTTCACAACACTTTATAATATTTCCTGTATAGCTATTACGAACCTAAAGCAAGCAATTACCGTATTTACTCGCATAATCCTCGCACTTTTTTTGGCGGAAAACCGGTGCAAAGTTGGGGGGGGCGAGAATTACGCGGGGAAAACTTTCTATGAAAACGTACAAAGCGAAAAACAAAACGAAGTGGCCACAAATCGGTATTATCACACCAGCAACTAACACCAAGCTTTGAGAAGTACTCATTAAAACCTACCTCAACAATAAAAGCACAGGTTCAACACAAGGCAAGATTTATTTCAGGCACAAAAAGTGCGAGCAAATAGTTGAGAATTAGAATATCATACGCAAAGCTTGTGGGCGTAGCGGTAGCGTTGGTCGTTCAACAGAAGCCCTCAACAGGTAAGCGTAAGACGTCAGTATTGGGCTGATGGCTATTAAACAGAATCATGCGCAGTTCCCTTCTGAAAAAATAAAGTTTACTATCAATCCCAGTTTTAGGCACACGGCAGGCCGAACGCGTCTTGGTGGCTTTCAGCTGCTGTCACCAGTAGGGAACACAAAACTTGTAGACTCCAAAGGGCCTTCCGGTGGCCCTGTTGCCATTGCTTAGTGCATGATCTATCACTTGCAACTTAAAAGCAGCCGTGTAGCTTCAGTATCACTCCATAACGCGACAATAGTACCGACGCAACGTATAAAACACGCCGCAATGCGCACTTGCCACTTTGGCTTGGCTTGGATGGGATTGAATCTCCGTGCAATAGTAGTACCCTTGGTGCTTAGGAGATTGCGCCAGACGGTGCGTGCTAACATCATCAGTGGTTGTTATGAGCAGACGACATTATTGCGGCAGTTTTTGGGGTTGCGATAATTACTCGAGGGAAAAAGAAATTGTATTTTTGTTAGGCGATGGGGGGGGTGCGAGAATTATTCGAGTGCGAGGATTGCGCGAGTAAATACGGTAGTATGGGCTGAGGATTTTAAGTCTCACAACTTTTTTTTTGTCCAATAAAATGTCTCATACGCACTTTCTTCTGGTGTTATTTCTATTCTGCAGTTAAAGGGGAGCAAAATGAGCCATTAATGGCTCAGAACCATAAAAGTTTTAATATCATAAAAAGTTTGTCCAAAACAGAACTATATTTTACACATTGTCTTGGCATAAAATGAAAACTGTGCAACTTACTAGAAATATAATTGCATATTTGAAATCAGCATAAAAGCTTATATATGTGAAAAAAATTTCATTTCCTTAGGCTACAGACTAACAAAACTTATTTTTTGAATAGTATCTCTTCTGAAATGCGACTGTGCTTAGGCCACCAGTTTGAGCTTTCACTTTTACATAAGCAATCAACTAACACTGCTTGGTGCTGCATAATCAATTGTGGGAATTTTATATGGCACATCTGGATGTGAAACTGAAAACTGTTGACATTTGAAATAATTGAGAAGTCATGGAAATTGGTAATGTGGTACAGAAAGTAATCTAGTCTACTACTTAATGTTCTACTGCTAATGCAAACTAATTTATATAGAGATGTATCCCATTGGTTATGATGTTGTGCTGGCAGGCCTGAGGTTTCACGTTTTTAATTTATTTCTGCGTAAGCTGTAACTGGCTCATTCCAGTAACTGTTCTTGTTGTCGTTATTGCTGTTTGGCATCATGTGTGTAGTTGCAAAAAAGGCACTTGCCCCCCTCAAGCCTCACCAGCAGTTGCCCTCACCCAAGTTACACCAGTGTCGTCTCCTTCTCCCAGACCCAATGCAACACTGGTTTGCAGCCCCTAACACTATCCCTGAAACTTATAAACAAAGAATCAAAGAATTTGAGTTACAATCTGCACAGAACGAGAGCACTTTTATACGGGAGTTGACTATTACGACTCTCTGCTCGTTATGTGCTCCAGAGAATGATGACCCTTCCGACACGTGCTGCTGTGCAAGGTGTTGTGTGTAGCTGTTATATGGACAAGGTCATACACTCAAACAGTGGGGTGCTTGGTTGCCAATAAAACCGCCTGGTATATACGCATCATTACGATTGAAGGACGGTGCATTGCCACGTCATTTGCTACTGTGCCTAGTTGTAGGCATTCTTTATGTCGCATGTAAAAGTGTTTTACTGACTCGTGTTTTCATTCATATCGTCAAGGAATAGTTTTGGCATTGGGTTCATAAACAGTGTTGGGTCTATTTGTAGTTTTAGGCTGCATGCCCTTTCCAACATAATTTTGAGATCCCAAAGCACATCTGACAGCTTTTCAATATTTTTTTTTTTTCAGGTGGCTGGAAAGAAAGGAGAAAGTCATTAGGGAATAAGAAGAGCATGCCTTACACAGGAGTGGCCTTGTGATCTACTGTTTTTTTTTTTTTTAGTAGGCAATTTTCAAGGGGCTCGAAATTGTTAACCAGAGCAAGATATTCAGGCATGGCATCAACTCGGGGAAGGGTGCCACAGAAACTCAATCTGATGCTGTTGTACATTTGAGGCTAAAATAAAGCATTTTTCAGGCCTATGGTTTACTTTTATTTACTAGGTGTGGGGCAGCATAAACTTTGTCACACATTAATCATTTGGCTGACGCTGGCTGCACAGCTTCTCTTAACGATAAGGAGGCCCCGGAGCACATCTTGGCCCTAACTACGGAGCAGTGCAAAACGGTATAGAACTGCGTGCGATATTGTCTTTCTTAATACGATATGAACAAAAATGGAAAGAAATATGCTCAGATGCACGTATTGGAACACCAACCTATGCGGAGTGAGGTGGCTCATGGAAAGATGTGACGGTAGACGAGATAGCGAAGTTTATTGGACATCTCATTTAAAGAGATTATTCACATCATGGGTATCCTCCTATATTTAAGACTTGGAGATGCTTATGGCAAGACAACACAAATTTACAGAGAAAAGTGTACGACTGCACTTGTGTTTCACGAAAAACCATGCAATGCTTCACCGCACTGCACGAGCAACGAAGCAGCATCTCGGTTTTGATTTTCTTTGTCTATGTGAAGGCAAACATTTTGTACAACATCAATTATTTTTATACTGTTCCTAGGTCATTTATCTGCAAAATGTATCTTCCGGATGTTTTTTGTATTGAATATTGTTGCATATATAGTGTTTTTGTTGCACTGTTAACCATCCAATGGCCAAAATGCCACACTTTTTATAGTTTTATTCATTCCAAAATATTTTGTTGCTTTACAACACATATTTCTTTGGAAAGAGCATTTCATTGTGCCAAATTTTGTATGCTGCTGGGGTACTTTTAAAACTGGACAAAGCAAACTTCCCGAGACACATGAAAAATTACCATTTTCGTGTGGTAACGAAAGAGTCAATGTCTCATTCAGGTGTATCTTTTATGTATCACCTTCGCATCGCTTCGCTTGATACTGGCAGGCTGCACATCGTACTACCCTTGGAATTATGCTGTTAAGTGCCACATTAATATACCACTCTTACTGCGACTGTGTTTACGTGTGCGTAACATCTATGCCGTATGTTGTTTCAGCTTCTTTGTGTTTTGAGAAGGACCTGTGTTAGTGATTACTACCTCTGCACCAAAGTGCCCTGGCTGCTACATCATGCTACATTTCCTCAAAATTTGGCGAGTCTATGCCAAACCTGCACCAAAGGGTGTTTTCCGGCTTTGAGAAACAAGACGCACTACTTACAGTTTCTTTATTGATAGCGATGTCACGGTGGACACTGTGCAACGCAATTCGAGCCAAGCTAAACTGCGAAAAAGCAGCTGTGGCAATACGTTCAATGTCTCATTTCACGGACTATTATAGGGACCACAAAATCATCCGAAAAGATAAGTTCATGTTGTTTATATGCCCGGTCAGATGACCACAACTTCTGTCGAAGTAGTTTTAGTAGATCCCAGACTTACCAGGCATTTCAGTGCCTAGCCAGCTTGTCCTAAATGCATCCGGAAACTTGCCGCGAGCCCCTTAACCACGTGCAACCACCAGTTGCAAATTTGTATCTCATGATGAGGGCTGCCAATGCCAGCAAAAGGCGGAATCAATATGGCTGGCGCGCGTGGAGCGTTTACAAAGGAAAACTCGGCTAACAGATAAGTGGATGACTCGTCTGAATCGTTTGGACCTCCCTGCTGCGTGTGCCAGTTAAGAAATAAAATTCTCCGCCAAGAAGCAGCACTTGCTGTCTCGTGGAGCCGATCGTTTCAGTCGTGTGCAGCACATTGAAAACTCAGTTGCCGCTGTTACGGCAAGGGCACTGGCTGTGCTGTACATCTCATTTTTGTCATAAAGGTATTCTTGATGTCTACTTTGTTCCTGATGGCACGTGAACGCTGCAATGACGCTGTTTTCGTTATTGAAGCTGTGTTGCACCAAGAGGCATCCTGAACTGCGGCGCGGCGCCTTTGGGTTCTAGCTCATTAAAAGCGTGCAGTATGCTTACAACTACACCATGCCATGCTCTACCGAGCACGGGATTTTTTCTTGGGGGGTGCAAACCAGTGTTGCATTGCGCCTGGGAGAAGGAGACGACACTGGTGTAACTTGGGTGAGGGCAACTGCTGGTGAGGCTTGAGGGGGGCAAGTGCCTTTTTTGCACCCCCCTGCCGACACCCATGCTACCGAGCAGTTAACTGAAGATGCTCATCATAACTGAATGTTAGCTAATAAATTGTACTGGCATCTTTCCTGCGTTGCTGTCATCCCACTTCTGTGCGGCTCCGGTGCTTATCAGTAAACACGGGGTCACTGTACTGGAATAGTGACCCCTTTTCATTTTCAGTCTTCTTTCCCCCATATCATTTAGGCATTTCGGTAAAGCTCACTTTCGGACATTGCCGTGGTGTAAAGAACGTGCTGATTCAAGCCCGTAAATAGTAGACATAGCAGAGTTGTGGCTTTGAGTAAATGCTATTTTGGCCCTGAAATATGAGAGGACAGTCTGAAAAACTGAGCACCAAAAGGTTCTCGCTTCCAAAATTTCATACGTTCTTCTACATTCGGGGCTTAAGACTGTGCCACGAAAGCATTTGAATTTTTAAGCGTGGCTGCACACTTTGGCTTTGGAAAATTGGCACTTATTGTACAGTAGGCTCAGTCAACAAATATGGGTCATGCGGAACTGCTGCTTAATTGCAACAACTGTCTCCAGCACGATTCGCTTCATACATAGACCTTGTTGATCTCTCAATAAATGGAGCAGCGGTTCTCAGTAAACGGAACTCCTGTTGCCGCCACGAATGTAGCTTGGACAGTTGGCTGCCTTGACAAAGATAACACGGCTTGTAGAAACGTTGCCTGCAATGGCACGTTCTGTTCACTTTTTTCTCTAATTTACACATAAATTTTAAAGCTCTTCTGTTTTTAGATAAGTGTACTAACACGCGTCTGGCATTTCGTTTCATGGTCTCGACCTGTATTTTCGCTGCGACGCGTCGCAGCAGATTGGTCCAGCCCACTCGGTAACGTTCATGGCATTGCCCCAAGAGTGACGAAGTCCGGTCAGGTCGTTCTATATCCGGAAACTATGGACCAATCAAGTGTTCATACGTTCGTAAGACTTTGTTCAGTGTCCTGCACTATCTGGGCTGCGTAAAGGTGTTTTCCAAAAAGACTCCAGTCGCCTTCAATCAAGCATCTACTGCCCCGCCATGGTGGTCTAGTGACTAAGGTACTCTGCTGCTGACCCACAGGTAGCGGGATCAAATCCCGGCTGCGGCGGCTGCATTTTCGGTGGAGGCGGAAATGTAGGCCTGCGTACTCCAATTTGGGTGCTTTTAAAGAACCCCTGGTGGTCTAAATTTCCGAAGCCCTCCACTTTGGCGTCTCTCATAATCATATGGTGGTTTCGGTACGTTAAACCCCACAAATCAATCAATCAAGCATCTACCGAGTTTGGTGTGGTATTTTTTTACCAGAAGCAGAAATTTATGTGAGTAGTTTAGTGAAGCATGTTGCCCTATATTGAAAAAATTATCCCAGCCAACAGATGGTGCATCTAGCTGTTCATTGGCAATAGGGAGAGAAAGATTTTTCAAAAATGGCACGTCATTTGTAGAGTTAACAAGATTACGTACGTGCCTGTTTGCATGCACTTCCGTTTGCTCACAACGTTTAAGTTTGCAGGCGACTTCTGGTCTTGTTGGGTTCCTAACGGATCGAACTGTCAATTTCACATTGTGGTTTTCTTACGTAATGTGCCTGGCAACGACATGGCTCAGTGGCAAATCGTGGAGAATCTTTGAGAAATATCCAGATTCAGCTTTTTGTGTCGGCCGTACTAGTTGTATATTGGGTGCTGAAGTGATCATTCGCTTTTATTTATGGAGACATGCTTTGAGAGCATTCAAGGACCTGTTTATCTTTACCCTAAGCATGAATCGCATGGTATCAGGGTGTTAGTGTTTCCATTCAGTAAACAGAATTGTTGAAAATAATTCAATTAGTGTCAGTAGAAGCCCGTCTAGCCTTTGGCCGAAATTCGAATTTAGGAAATTCCAATCCTTAAATTGATTTGCACATAGTTTGTCATGCCGCATTGGTAGAAGCCCTTTAGGCTTTGTCCTGACGTTTGAATTTGGGTCTTTCATTCGGTGAACTCAATTTGACAGAATAAGTCGTGTTGCATTACTAGAAGCTCATTTTGCTTCGTCTCTAGGTTTGATCTCTACATGGTTGATTTTAATGTTATTTCAATCACTGAACCAATTTCTTCTGGAAAATCGATAAGCGCATTTGAAGCACCTATTTGGCTTTGGCTCAAAAGTTTATTGCAGTGCGGCTGTTTCGTTCATTAAAAAAAAATTGCTGCAGACCTTTTCTTGCTACAAACAAGGGTTTCGTCCATTTTCTGTTTTGACACGTTTTGTGATTGCTACTGCAAACTAGTTGACCTTTTAAGTGGCATGTCATGATTACCTTTCGTGAAGTACCTAATTTGGGGTACGTCATTGTAGTATGGCACCGAGACTGTTCGATACTTTCAATTGACATGCTCATTAGAAACGGCTACTGCACTTGTTTATTTGATCTTGACTGGTGAGTTAATATTGGAGTGATTGCTCCACCCATTGAACAGATTTGTTCTGTAAAAATCATTATCGTATGTGATCAATTGGAGTGCTCCTTCTGTGTTTGCAAGGAGTCATGCTTGTACTGGTAATTGCGTTCATTGCCTCAAGTGGCCATGGTTAGATTCAGTAACTTAAAATATGTGCATTGACTGTAGTAGCCGATATTGTTTTCATGACCGTATAAGCTTAAATAGACGTTTGCACATTGCTTAAAAAGCTAATAAAAATTTTCTGAACACTGTACTTGTTGAATCTCTGCAGTCCGCGTTTTCCTGCACACATCGACTTTCCTATGCTTTGACTACAATTTCAGAAGTGCGAGCACGTTGGCACGTATTTTTTTTTTTCGTTCTTTCTTTCTAAGCTTGACTGCGGGGTGTACTCAATAGACTGTTTTCTCATGGTTAACACAACAGCGATTCAAATCAATGTGCGTTAAAATTGAGT